CGAGACTGAAGGCCCTGGGTTCGAATCTTGCGAGCGGGATCGTGGATGCGCACTGCCAAGGAGGAGTCCCACAATAGCACGAAACGGCCGTCCAGTGCTTTCAGGTTTTCAATTGTGGTGGTCTAACATCAATGGGTTCATGATCTCAATCAAAAACTTGATAATCTCCACAACCTCGATACTAGTATTTACATAGAATATTTAGATAACCTAAACTTTTACTTCTCAAGGTCATGATTAACCTTGATAGTTTAACATCTCAAAATATGGAAAAAAATAACAACAAAGAAGGTAATTATTCCATTCAGGTTACAATCTGTAGTCGATTGTTTTTCCTGGAATTTCTGGATAGTCTCCACTGGATTCTAATTAAACAAAGTGTTTTCACCTTTTTGCAAGAGTTAATGACTATGTGGACTCAATAGCTAATTAGATAATACGAAGGAGTTTGAAGCAATAAGTACTAGGCTTAAATCCCAGAGTGAGTATCACCTTTGGGATGTAGGTACTCTTAGCTGACGAGTCCCAAATAAGACGAACTACACGTTCTAGATTCTACTGCTAGCAATCATTCAACCTTAAAAGAAGTATTATTAGTGACAGTGAAGACGCTTAGACATAAAGAATGTGATTCAAGAAGAAAGAAATAGGATCTTATAGTATATGAAAGTAAATTCATTGCAAGTATCATTACAACTAATTCTGATCTTTAACTATTGAACAAGATAATCACAAGAACTGTAATCAGACAATTTGAACAAACAACATGAATCATATCAACAATTGATGACTTCATGAATTGATACTACATCCCATTTTGATAGTTCACTTATCAAACTTAGGTTTATATACTCATGTTTGAGTTATCCTATTTTATATGATAGCTTATGATACAGTCATTCGCTCACTTACTTACTTACTTACGCCTGTCACTTCCAGTGGAAAATAGGCCGCCGACCAGCATTCTCCAACCCACTCTGTCCTGGGCCTTCCTTTCCAATTCTATCCCATTTTTGGTCATTTTTCTCACGTCTGTCTCCATTTCTTGGCGTAATGTGTTCTCTGGTCTTCCTCTTCTCCTATGGCCTCGAGGATTTCATGTGGGGGCTTGCCTTGTGATGAAGTTGAATGCTTTCCTTAATGTGTGTCCTATCCACAATTACTTACTCATTTGCTTACACTGAAGTGAATAGGACAGGGTCAAAATCTATTGCTTGCCCCTTCCAAACAAACAAGTTGGTGAAGCTTAGTAGGCCCTTCTGGAGAGAAACAGGCGACATCGAAGTACGGCACAACTAGAATAGCTGTTTTTGCAACCGTTGGAACTTGCCCCGTAATGAGCATCACTTTTCTGAATTTTTGTCGTTTTTTAATCCAAGAGTAATTGTGCTGTTATTCTTTGTGGATCTCGTAATCGGTTTGAGAGTATCGGTCGAGTGGATGATTAGCCCGATCTCCACCACCCGGGTTATTGCCCACTATCCAGGAGGTAAGACGTAGACGTGTGAGTCGGGTTTCGCCTCCTGATCTATCTAATCTTTTAGAGTCGTTTAAGTATCGTTCCAAGATAATTATTTAATTATACTTTATATAATCTAGACATATATATGTATGAATTAGAAATAAAACTGACACTTATAATTAGTCATATAAATTAATTGTGTAATAAACATAGTAGACAGTATGAACAGTAAATCATAGTAAGAAAAATCTCTATCTCTCTCTCTGTATAACACCAAAATTTATGTTTGTATATAAAAAATATGGGAAAATAGATTAGAGAAGGAGACAATTAAATGGGAAAATTTCACTTAAATTTTATTTCTATTCATTTAAATACATAAAATATTGGTACAAAAGGCACCAAATAGATATGCGACACATAAATCATTCGATTTGTGTGAGGTCTGGGATATTATCTGAGTGCTTAAACTGAAGTAGGTGGTTTTCTTAGGAGGCCACACCCAGAGCCTTCGATCTAAAGCTCTGATCCATAAGATAGTGGAGCAACGTCAGGAGATGCATTCCCATAGTAAACAGTGACTAACGATTGGTTCATATGCCATTGGTTCCTTCAGGATACTGGAGGTCATGTACACCCTTGGTTTTGGAATGAGAGTTTCCCAACTCCCCTAGGTGGGTCCTTCGTGTCCACCAACATGGTTAAAGAGTCAGATGTTCTCTCTTCGTCCTCTCATTTTCGTTGATGACACTCCCGTCGCAAGAAGAATGTGAGTAGGAGTTCCCTGTTAGTGATTGTATGCACGTGGCCATGTGCGAGCATTTAGAGGGAGGGACCTGAATCTCCTCACTCTCGGCCGTACCAGGGAACTTGCAATAATTAATTATATTTTCGTTTCAGGTACTATTATTACTGTTAGTTTTGTTAGAAACATATGGTTTTGGGGAAGCATTTTGCCACGTATTTTTATCACTTATAAGTTTCAATATAACTTTTTATGTATTGGTTACTGAATGGTTAGATTCCTAGACTTGGACTTTACATGAAAATCTATACTAATCTCTTAAAGACTTAATGCTTGATCTGTTAGGTTATTGAATTAGATAAATCATCTTGAATCATCATAAATAGGGTATTCGTTAGACAAGACGTTGGATATCGGAGCTAAATTTATGCCACGCTCTTTTGTTTCCGATATTTTACAATCAGACACGTCGATAGTTGAACAGCTATTTGTATAGGTAAAGATTGGAAGTAGGATTAAGAGAGAACTAACTAACGAGTCCCAA